AAAGAAGCTGGGCGATACGTTGGTGAGAATATTGCAGTTTTGCCGTAAGTCAGCCACGTTTAATAATTTCAGCATATCAACTCATCTTATTTAAAAGAAGAACATTTGAGTAGAGTCTAGGAAATTCGTTTAAAGGCTTATCCAGCTCGTATTTTTTAACTAATTGGCAAACTTTCTTATTTCAGGTTTCATCAACTGTAAGTTCAATCCATGTAGCTAATCGTGATTATATATATTAATAAATGTTATTATCAATTATATGCGTCCAGACCTCACTTTCTCAGTTTCAAGCACTAAGCATGACTTAAGCCTCTAAGCAATTCTGAAACTAGCATTATGTAGATCTCTAGACGGGTATCGAAATTCGGCGTATCTAGTACATCTCTTATAAATAATAAGTTTTCGTAAAGCATATATAACGAATTTTTATTGTTATTTTGAACCTTTATTCGCAATTCGGCCGTATATTTAAGGAAACCTAGGCGAAGGCACCTTGTCCGGAATCCAATGTACTCATGAAAAATTCCCGAGTCAGAATGTGGGCTTGGTATATTCTACCTCAAACGATTATCTCATCCCTACATCTAGTAAGAGTATCAAATTTCATTAGGGTTCACATAATTCAAAGGTCAACAAATAGTAAACTTACATTGCCATTACTGTAAAACAAAAATTATATATTTTATATATTAAGATCTTTTTATATTCATATTTTAGTCCACCAGAAGCGTAAGTTTATCTTAAAATGTACATGTCGGTTTTATCATAAACACGTTTATTTGCATTAAATAATTGTCATTCCTTGTGCTTACTAAGCACGAGGATTTAGAGCAGATGATGCCCATTTCCATGCCCATTCACATACCAGTGCCTGCGAATCCTCCTCCCCAACATTTTAAACCTATGACTTAATTCATAACCGCTCGTGTGAAAATGTACTGCTTACCTTCTTTCTAATGAAACGCGAAAACCATTCCTATTTAATACTATGGTATTGTGATGATGTTCTTATGTGTGTGTGTTTGTGTGCGTGCGTGTGTTCGCTGGTAACTCTCGTGTTCCATCCTTTCACCAGTCACGTCCTCTTCAGTCAAAGATACAAAAAATACTACATATTTCACTGCAATTAATTTTATTAAATTAATCGATTGTTGTCCTGGTTAAAACTTAAATTCTCGTTTGTATTTTTTCAGAGCTATTAGAATGTGGTTCAAAGAACACCGTTTTTACAATTACAAGAATAACAGTTGTTCTTCTCATTGTGGAAAATATACTCAGGTAAGTGATTGCTTCTACTTGATTCTGGATTGAGTAGTGTATAAATAATACTTTAATTATGTCCCCATTACATAATGGCAAGCACATTTAGCTTCCTAAATGAAAAGTACTTGTTGGCTCAGTCAGTTCGTCGTGAAAATGTTTCTTTCGTATTATGACCGTATATGCCAGCGAGGACGGGTTCTAGGAAATTGGTGGGACTCGTTCTGACGAACTGCTCGGCGCTGGTTCTGCCGAATGGCGCGCAGACCACGCAGGCTAGTTCAGAAGAAAGCAGACTCGTGGGTCCCTTTTTGGCCAACCGACAGTTTTTTGGGAAGAGCCCACACCCGAGTTCAGCCGTTAGGCTTTGGGCCAGCAAAGATTCCTGTCTATTGTTGATAACCCGACTATTACGTCGTGAAACAAGAGTCACACTTCATGCTGTCTTGCGTTGAGGCTCTGTGGTTGTCGCAATTTCAGAAGAACCTGGCCCTGTTCAAGCTAAATAAATTAACTCGGCTGGTATTGTTGTTTCATCCTGCAAATTGATGCAAATGTTAGCTCTGATCATATATTGCACAGTAAATGAATAATCTTTCTGATAATATGATGTGATTACTCAATACCTTTTTTACTTTTGTATTTCTATTCAGATTGCTTCGGCCAAATCAACTCAAATAGGATGTGGAGTCGCTAAATGTTCCAATTTAGCTTTATATTATAACACACTATTTGTGGTGTGTGATTATGCTCCTGGGTATGTTAACTAAGTTGCTGTGACATTTGTAACGGCTGCTAAAATTGCCAGTATTAATCATGTAGGGGCCATAATTTTTTCAATATTAAGTAGAGATTTTTGAGCTATCATTTAATTAAATTTAGATATATAATAATTGCATTGTAAAATTTACAATCTAAACGAGAATACTTTTTTATTTTAGTGGAAATGTACCAGGACGACCTCCATATTTAATATCGTCTGATAGGTCATCTGGAAAATATAGTATTATTAATTAAAAAATCAAATAAAAATTGATACTAGCATACCTTTCATTTAGTTTTAGAAGGATGATAGGAAGGATTCGTATATTGGCCTGGCTGGATAGCAAAGGAGGGTCAAATGTTTGGATGATTGCTTTGATAAATTACAGCATGGCAAAGAGTGTTGGAATGATTCCTTGGTTCATTGAAAAAAGTAGATCAGGCGAATAAATTCAAAATTGAGTCTGAAAAGGACAATAAGTTAGCCTTTTTAGATTTCACAGATATTAAAGGAGGTAGGAATCTGGGTAGAGATGTATATAGGAAACCCACAAATGAGGGTTTCATTATTAATTTATTCTCGGATATTACTTATGGTGTTAATGTAGTGATAATAAAATCAATGCATACATTGGGCAGTGCAGTTGTCGTCGTGTGCAAGTGAAATTGCTACAATGTCGGCATGTTGAGGAAGACAATTTTCCTTCAGGTAGGCAGATACAAACCTACTTGGGCAAGCCAAAATGTAGAGTTGTTCACTTTTAACAAAATTGAGTGAGACCTACTCTACCACTCACTACCCAACCGTGAACTCACCCGTTCCGTCGAGCAGACTTCTGC